TTTATTGCATTTTGCTAAGAAATCAAGTAAAACATTTTAAAAACCACGTCATTTAGTTGAAAACCACGACTAACCAAGTTCGTGCCGTTTAGCATGGTTTTCACTAAACGACCAAAAACGGAAAGTGGTTTTTGAGGCGTTTTTGTTGGAGAACTATTTAAATATGCCCAGAAGCAAAAACCAATCATAAAAAGTTAAAAACCACTTGGTTGGTTTGGATGCCCAAAAACCAATGCTGAAAACCGAAAGCCGAACGTCGGTTTCTGAAAGCTGAACGCTCGATGACTTGGTTTTTGGTTTGGGCAAACTCCAAGTGTTTTTAGCCAGGTTTAAAAACTTATGAAAAACATTTTTTAATTTGCAAAAAGGGTTTTGATGAATTGATCTTAGAGAGCCAAGATTTGGAAGTTTGTGCCGGTCTCGATCACATTAAGACCGACTCGATGCAATTCTAATTCTTCACTCTTGATTCTTGGTTCTTGGTTCTCCGTTCATCATGCCATGTTCCTTCGCCTTGGTTTTGTCACGGCAGTTTGGCATTATCAAAACCTGTCATAAAACGAACACGGCTTAGTACGACATAGGCGTAACCCCGTGTTCCAACAATTTCCTCCTTTTTGATAATGGCAAACAAGACGGGGATATGCATATTAAGGGATATTTGATTTTCAAAAAGTTTTGAAAAAGTTCCCCCTTAATTTGTGCTTAAAAGAAATTAGTGGGATTAAAATCAAACGGTCTCGTTTTTAGAGGCGTTCCCCCTTAGTATATGCATAGCCCTTTTCTTCCCCCTTTTGATATTAACAAAAAGATAAAAGATAACTTTTATTTATTGAAGATGGGAAATAGCGGAGTAAAACGGAAGCATTAAGAGACATGATAATTAAAATAAAAGAGATAGAAATTCTAGGGGCGGCCTAGTCTTCGTCTTCGGTTTCCTCCTCCTCGTCGTCGACGTCCATCTCATCACTGTCAACGGCGTTGTCAAACTCGTCCTCGTTTGGGGAGCTTGACGGGGTGTAGGAGCCATCCTCTTCGTCCTCGTCACTGTACACTTGCCCAAAGAATGTGCCATGGTACGGTGGGGGAACGTAGTTGACGCGTTGGAAGTAAGTGTTCATGGTGTGCCCTTGGCGTTGAACAGCCTCGTCGAGCCGCTCAAGGTAGCCATCCATCTCGTCAACTTTGAAGTGAAGCCGGTTGAGGGAGTCGGCGATGGAGGCAAGGTTGGCCCGGGCCTAGGCTTCGCTGGACCAGCAGCAGAACGGCGTCGTGGCACAACAATGGAAGGTCCGGCATTGTCCGACCGCTTCTTGAAGGTTTGGGTGCTGATCGCCCAAATCTTCGTGGCCTTTGTGAGTGGGCCAACGATGGTGGTCACCATGAACCATTCTAGGATGTCCATCACCACGAACGGGTACGGGAGGAGGTGATCGTGGTCGGTGGACGCGGCAATCGTCATGTTGATCATGACAAACTTTGCCCAATTGATTGGGGCCGAGTGCATGATCGCATGGATGAGCTTGAGATCTTCACCGGACATGATGGTGTGGCCGTGCTTCCTGGGTTTGATGATCTGGGAGACGATGTAGAGAAGAAGATGGCCTTCGGGGTTAGCGGAGTGGATGGTGGGGCAGCCCGAGGCATGGCGGATGAGCTCGGTGATGCCAAGCTCGTTGAGGATAAGGCCCTCGTTGTTGAGCACCCAGTCCTCTCCGCCATATAGGGAGACGTCGTCACCTTGGTAGGGGAGGCCAGCGATGCGCCCAAGCTGCTCAATTGAAAGTTCTATCGGCGTGCTCTTGACAAGAGAATAGAGCACGTCGCCCTCACGCCGGAGGTTGGAGTAGAAGACCCGAATCAGCGCCGGGAGACGAAAGGCCAAAGGCCGGCCTGATGAAGCTGCGCGTCGAGGTCGTCGTAGCCCTGCAGCTCCGGGTAGCGCTTCCGGATGATCCGTGGAGGAGCCACAACCCGTTTAGAGAAGAAGGTGAGGAAACGGGTGCGTTCCTCTTCGGAATCAAACCAAAGGTATGACCCGTCACCATAGTAGAGGCGTTCCTCGGTAGATGTCGTAGGCGCCCGGGATTTGGCCTTGGATTTGCCGGAAGCTCCTGCCCTGTTCTTATCTTTGCCGATGATGAAGAAATCTCAAGAGAAAAGAGTAGAAATGATGAAATAAGCAAGGATGTTGAAGAGAATTGTGTTTGTGTGTGTAAAAGTGAAGAGAGGAGGTCCCAATTTATAGAGAAGGAGGACTCTAACGTCCAGATTTTCAAAAACAATGGCTATTGGATCAATTAATGCTGGTGCCAACAGATATTTTTTTTGAAAAATTTATCCAGAACAACGATGTTCCAAAGGCTACATCGCTGTTGGGGCAGCGCTGTTGAGCCTCTGGACAGCGCTGTTATGCGTCAAGTTTTAAAAGCAAGTGTTAAATGGACAGCGATGTTGGGTTCCCTACAGCGATGTTCCAAATCATTCTGGAATTGTGTAAGGGGTTGAACCCATTAGAACAGCGATGTTCAAAAAGTTTCTGGAAAGTGAAGAGTAAGGGACTCCCTGGGACAGCGCTGTTGGCACAAACTGGTTGACGATGTTTCTCTCAACAACGCTGTTTGGTCTCTTGGACAGCGCTGTTTGCATGGTTCCCCTCTGATTTCATGAACGGGGTACCTGCAAAAAAAAGAAAAAAGTTCTCCGACGCTCAAGTTAGTAAGCGTTTAACAAGTTTAGATGCATAACTTAGATCATCGTGGAGTCAAGGATTCCGAGTTCACTTCGAATGCGGAAGAACGACTCTTTCTCTAAAGGTTTTGTGAAAATGTCGGCTAATTGGTTGTGTGTTTCAACAAACTCAATTTCGACATCACCTTTGAGAACATGATCTCTAATGAAATGATGCCTAATGTCAATGTGTTTCGTCCTTGAGTGAAGAA